ATAACCGACATAAATTATTTTAGTTATTATAAAAATATATTTATTATTAATATTTTTTTGGTATTTTATATTTTTTACTGATTAAAAAAAATAGTATATATGTAACTGATATATAATGTGCAATGTAAGAGACATTAAGGGGCAATTTGTACAGCACTACGGTGCATGCTGTCGGTCTGTATTGTGCATATTGAACCAACTGAAATCTTGTCCCAACTGAAATATAAAAGAACATAATTTATTGATTTATTGGTCTGGTTAACCGAATCATCTTAAAATAATCAAAATAATTTGTTATTTATATTAAAATTATTTCAATATTTTAATAATTTTATTTATTATTTTTATAATTATAGATTTCAAAAATACAATGTATATGTTATCTTATTAAATATTGCACTTTATATATCAATGCGTTGCACTTTATAAAATAACACGCTGCACTTTATAAAATATCACACAAAATAAATCTAAAAAACAGATATACATAATATTTATTTTGAGTATTTTTTAATTTAGCTCATGATAAAATATGTAATTTATAGCAATATTACAATATTTAAAAGGTATAATACATAAAAAATATTAAAATGATAAATATACTTTTATAATAAAAAAATAGTAAAATATTTTAATTATTTAGGTTAATTTGGCATACAATTATATCTACTAATTATAGATTTCAAAAATACAATGTATATGTTATCTTATAAAGTATCACACTTTATATATCCATGTGTTGCACTTTATAAAATAACACATTGCACTTTATAAAATATCGCACAACATAAATCTAAAAATACGGATATACATAATATTTCATCAATCACATAATTTATCCACACGAAACACAAGCATACTAACGTACCAAAATTATAGTAGTTCACTTTATACATCAACAAGTTGCACTTTATAAAAATAACATGTTGCACTTTAGAAAACGACACATTGCACTTTATCACAACTATCATATTGCACGATAGAGATCGAAATTGACCAATTCAAAAAATTTCAACCAAACATAATATAAAAATAATAAATAAAGTTATTGACATATTAAATATATATACGAATTATTTTGATTATTTAGGATAAATCAATTAAGAGAACGGAACAAACAATTTAATTATGTTCATTTTGAAATTGATTTGGGACAACAATTCGATTTGTCCAATATGCACAATACCGACACTGTATACCATAGTGATTGACGAATTGCACCTTAAGAACTGTTAGATTGCACAGTATATTTTGTTTACGTATATTAATATTTTAATTAAAAACTACTATAAAATTCCAAATAATAAATATTAAATACTAATAATGTTCTCTATAATAAATAATATAATGTATGTCGGTTGCTTTGGTTATTTATGTTAACCGACAAATTAAACCGATTATATCGTGATTTCACCGTTCAACCGGTTATCAATATTATGCATTTTGTAGTGCGTTGACAACCTGATATTTTTTTAATTTTTAATGTGCGTATATACAAACGATATTGTGCAAAATAATTATCGTTGTTGTGCATTGCATCTAACATAATTGTGCCATTATTAATTTTTTAATAAATTACATATATATTACTTCGATTAAAATTAACTATATTAATATTTATAGAATATTTAATATGCATATGCATACACTTATTATATAATTTTTTTGACAATATAACATCTATTAGTTTTTTTTCTTTTTTTTTTAATAAAATGAATATTTAAACTCTTAATCACATTACAATATAAATGAAGTTCTTAAAATTGCATATTTGGCCCTAAAAAGTATCTAATTTTCACTAACCCACCCCTAATCTAATCTTAAATTACCAAATCCTGTGCATCACAAATCTGCCCAAATTGCTTCAAATCCGGTCCTTCCCTGCGGAGGCGCTCGATTCGCAGCCCGGCCTGTCAGTGCAAGTGGAACGGTTGAACACTCCATCGGAATCCTACCACGCAGAGGACACACGGCCTAGAGTCAGCCAGAACTTGGAAACCCGACGGCGACGGAGGCGGTGCCGGTTCACACTGCTGGAGACGCGGCGGCTTCCGGCGATTTGTTTAACGGGGGGTCTGG